GTGACTAGGTGGTAGAGAGTCAGCCACAGCGGGGGGGGGGTTCTTGTCAAGAAACTCAGCGGGCATAGCGGCACGGAAGCGGCCCTCACTAGAGCGGAGGTGTGTGATGAGGTCAGCGACTGTGGAGAAAGCGGACAGGTCTGGGAACAAGTAGGGGAGCAAGAGACGGCCTATCATAGCAGAGGCAGGTGAGGAGTAGCGTGCAACTACAGCAGTGTACAGTGCCTGTGCAGTCTTGTGCTGGCCGAAGTGCTCGCGCTCATCTATCGGCAGAGAGTTGCGAATAGCGAAGCGAGCGTGGGCATCACGAGTATGCCACTGTGAGCGGGCAGTGCTGTCAGCAGTAGCAGCAGGGGCAGAACCGTGTCCTAGAGCGTGATCGTACAGTGAAATATCCTCCTTGGTAGTGAGCTGGAGATACAGGTGCAGGTCATCTAGCCATGTGTCAAACTTCAGTGGGCGGCCCTCAGCATCGAAAGCGAGCACGATAGGGCTAGCCATAGTTGCAGTAGGAGCAGTAGTGGTGGCTGTAATAGCAGTAGTGCCAGTAGCAGCGACAGAAGCAGCAGTAGCGCGGCTCGGTAGGGCGGCGCGGCTCGGTACGATGGCGCGGCTCTGGTAGGGCGGCGCAACTCGATGGGGCGGCGCGGCTCGGGTGGGCGGCGGGACTCGGGTGGACGGCGCGGCTCGGGTGTATTGGGGCGCTAGCGGGGCTGCAAGGGCAGGGCTGTGCGGAGGGAGGCACGCGAGGGCGTGCTAGTGGGGCGGGGCCTGGTCTCACGGGGCACGCAAGGGCGGGCTAGTGGGGCGGGGCCAGCTCTCGAGAGGCACGCAAGGGCGCGCGGGTGGGGCAGGGTCGCACGAGGCACGTAAGGGCGCGTGAGGAAGGGCGGGGCCGGTTCCTAAGGGGCGCGCAAGGGCGCGCGGGGCAGTGGGTCGCGTAAGGGCGCGCTACAAGGAGGGCGGGGCCGATCGCGAGGGGCACGCTAGGGCGTGCGGGCTGAGCGGGGCCGGTTTGTAAGGGGCACGCTAGGGCGCGCTACGGGGCAGAAACGAGGTGCGCTCGCGGGCGCGACTAAGCGAGGCGCGCTTGGGCGTGACTAACGGATTAGGTGGGCCCTATCATCGGTCCTAAGTTACGACCTAGGCTCGTAATACCATGTTAGAATCTTAGAACGAACGAGAATGATGAATCTAGGCATGAGGGGGATACAAGTAGGAAACCCTAACAAAGTTGTACCCCCTAAGGCTAAACCCACTATAGCCTACACAATATAAACATGTATAATGTTTGACACCATCAGGTGCAGTTGCTCTGATTGTTCCCGTCAGATGGCTCCCATTAGCAAGCCTCCCATTTTTTTTTTTTTTATATGTTAAATATACACTGATGATGCTAGTGCACACAAACATATATCAGTCGTAACTGAGCGTGAGAGGCCCGGCAGCACGCCTGCTTCAAGGGATGACTCTAAGGGGGATGTAGTGCCCCTCGCGCAAGATTCCATAGCGCACCAAAGTGACGGGACCATTTCCAGCCTTTGCCTTCCAGAGTCCGGATACGTCCAAGGAGCCGACACTCCTGATCTGCCAGCGCGTACGTCTTCCCGCCCTGTTTCAAATTGCCCTTCATGCCCAACTTTTTCCCTGTTGCCCGAGTATACACCTGCACATGTAGCTTGAAAGCTGCTTCAATCCTCCTCAGTACCCGTCTGGCTCAAAATCTCTTGCCTCGAAACACGCAATCGCACCGCTCTGCCCAAATCTGGTGTATTGCAATTGCCGAGAGAGACGCTTCCGGAAAAGCTGAGGTGGAAGCGGTATTGCCAAACAGTATGTCACCCAAGCTGTCAACTTGCCTTGTCGAATTCAGCATGCGCAGAGCCTTCCGAACTGCCCCCACCTGTTGAAGTCTAGGCATAGGTTGGCTTAGGATCCATGGTTTAGGTTCTTAGTAGATCGAGTTCTAGGGTAAAGAGAATGTCGAGAAAGTTGAGAGAGGAGAAAGATGGCTTCACTATAGGTTGGCAACAACATATAGAAAAGAAACAAAGAAGGTGCACCACCAAACAAAGTTTATAATAACTACACTAACTATAGCTACAGGCACTTACAGATATATTCTGACACTCTCCCATAACTGCCTGCAGCAGAAGCTAATGCAGAGACTCCCCCTGAAGGGGTACACCATGCGTAGTAGAAGGAGAGGGCAAGTGAGGAGGAGGGACTAAATGAGGAGAGGCTGCTGGCAGGTGAAGCTGCTGGCTCCAAGGCGGCTGCTTCCTGGAACCTTCCTCAGTCTTCCAACTCCCCCTTCCACACTCCTTGACAACCCTAGCACCTCTCCCCCAGCTCCCCCACACCCTCACACCCACCCCCCCCCAGCGGCAGCTGCAGCAGTGGGAGAGAAAGGAGGAGGAGGGGAAGGGGATCACACACACCCATAACCCCCATACCCGCCACCCCCATAGCCTCCGTTCCATGGCTGCACGCGCAGCAAGGAGACGAAGAAGGGGGGGGGGGGGGGGGGGGGGGGGGGGGGGGCGCAGGGGCGACAGAGCAGAACAGAGCGCACGAGGGCGCAGGCAGAGCAGATCGCACAAGGGCGCGGGCAGCAGCAGGGCGCACGAGGGCGCGGGCAGCAGCAGAGCGCACGAGGGCGCAGGCAGAGCAGAGCGCACAAGGGCGCGGGTAGCAGCAGGGCGCACAAGGGCGCGGGCAGCAACGGGCGGCAACTGGCAGCACAGGCACGGGCAGCAACGGGCGGCAACAGGTAGCACAGGCACGGGCAGCAACGGGCGGCAACAGGCAGCACAGGCACGGGCAGCAACGGGCGGCAACGGGCAGCGTAGGCACGGGCAGCAACGGGGGGCAACGGGCGGCACAGGCATGGGCAGCAACGGGCGGCAACAGGCAGCAGAGGCACGGGCAGCAACGGGCGGCAACAGGCAGCACAGGCACGGGCAGCAACGGGCGGCAACGGGCAGCGCAGGCACGGGCAGCAACGGGCGGCAACGGGCGGCACAGGCACGGGCAGCAACGGGCGGCAACAGGCAGCACAGGCTCGGGCAGCAACGGGCGGCAACAGGCAGCACAGGCACGAGCAGAAACGGGCAGCACAGGCACGGGCAGCAACGGGCGGCAACGGGCAGCACAGGCACGGGCAGCAACAGGCAGCAACAGGCAGCACAGGCACACGCAGCAACAGGCAGCAACGGGCAGCACAGGCACGGGCAGCAACAAGCGGCAACGGGCAGCACAGGCACGGGCAGCAACGGGCGGCAACGGGCAGCACAGGCACGGGCAGCAACGGGCGGCAACAGGCAGCACAGGCACGGGCAGCAACAGGCAGCAACGGGCAGCACAGGCACGGGCAGCAACAGGCGGCAACGGGCAGCACAGGCACGGGCAGCAACAGGCGGCAACGGGCAGCACAGGCACGGGCAGCAATGGGCGGCAACAGGCAGCACAGGCACGGGCAGCAACGGGCAGCACAGGCACGGGCAGCAACGGGCGGCAACAGGCAGCACAGGCACGGGCAGCAACAGGCAGCACAGGCACGGGCAGCAACGGGCGGCAACGGGCAGCACAGGCACGGGCAGCAACGGGCAGCACAGGCACGGGCAGCAACGGGCAGCAACGGGCGGCAACAGGCAGCACAGGCACGGGCAGCAACAGGTAGCACAGGCACGGGCAGCCGTACCGAGTCCAGGAGCGGCGGTGCAAACAGCTGTGGGGTCAGCGCCGTGGGCTGCTGCTGGGGCGGCTGCTCCAGGCGCTGCTGCTGCTGGGGCGGCCGCTGCAGTGGCGGCGGCTCCAGGGGCTGCTGCTGTTGGTGCGGCGGCTCCAGGGGCGGCTGCTGTTGCTGGGGCGGCTGCTGTTGCTGGGGCGGCTGCTCCAGGGGCTGCTGTTGCTGGGGCGGCTGCTCCAGGCGCTGCTGCTGCTGGGGTGGCCGCTGCAGTGGCGGCGGCTCCAGGGGCTGCTGCTGCTGGGGCGGCTACTCCAGGCGCTGCTGCTGCTGGGGCGGCGGCTGCAAGGGCTGCTGCTGCTGGGGGCGGCTGCTCCAGGCGCTGCTGCTGCTGGGGCGGCCGCTGCAGTGCCGGCGCCTCCAGGGGCTGCTGCTGTTGGGGCGGCGGCTCCTGGGGCTGCTGCTGCTGGGGCGGCTGCTCCAGGGGCTGCTGCTGAGGTCCAGGGGCGGCGCTGGGGCAAGGTAGGTCCGCGCTCGGCTGCAACATTGGCGCGGGCGCATGTGAGGCAGAGGCGGTGGCCAGGGGGGAGGGCGACGCGTCGAGTAGGATCGGCGCCCAAGGGGTGCCGCTACGAGTAGGGGCGCCGCCCCAGGGGTGCCGCGACGAGTAGGGGCGGCGTCCTGGGGGCGGCGCGACGAGCTGTGGCGACGCCCCGTGGGTCCCGCAGTGGTGTCACGACGAGCACGGCGACGCCGTGCGGGTCCTGCAGGGGCGTCGCGACGAGCAGGAGCGGCGACGCCCGGGTCCCGCAAGTGCGTCGCGACGAGCAGGAGTGGCGCCTCGCAGGGCGCCGCGAAGTGGAGGGTACGGGCGGGCAAAACAGGCCCGCGCGTGGACATGAGGCAGGCGCGCAGGCGGCGTGAAGGCAGGCCGCGCGCGGGGCAGGAAGATGCCGCGCGCCCAGGGCGCACGGCGGGCAGAAAACCGCCGTGCGCCCCGAGCACACGGCGGGCAGAAAATCGCCGTGCGCCATACGCCGCGCGCCCGAGGCGCGCGGCAGGACGATAAGCAGCGGAAGCAAGAAGGCAGTAGGAAGGTAGCTGCTCTGAATACCATGTTGAAGTCTAGGCAAAGGTTGGCTTAGGAGCCATGGTTTTGGTTCTTAGTAGATCGAGTTCTAGGGTAAGGAGAATGTCGAGAAAGTTGAGAGAGGAGAAAGATGGCTTCACTATAGGTTGGCAACAACATATAGCAAAGAAACAAAGAAGGTGCACCACCAAACAAAGTTTATAATAACTACACTAACTATAGCTACAGGCAGTTACAGATATATTCTGACACCACCACCGTCTGGATTCTTGGACAGGTGTAGAGGCAGTGTTCGAGGGTCTCAAACTCCCCGCAGTGCAGGCAAATCGGCTTTCCACTCAAGAAAGAAAGCCTTTCTCCCACTTGGAGGTTGAGACTGTGGATTCTCAGCAGCACATCACGCGGTTGGTTCAGTGTCACCAGCGAGTCCCGAATTTTCAAAACCCTTTTCAGGTCGATAACTCCTACCCATCTGCCTGCCCAGAGCTCCCGTTTGGCTGATTGATGTTTCGGCTGTTGCCAGTTCCCTTTCAGCTCCTTCAGCGATGGTAGCCCCCCGCCACTGGAAGCCGTTGTGCGCTGGAGCGGAGTGCGGAGCTGGGTGGCAGGTGCGCCAGATTGCTCGGCTGAGAGGAGAAGCAGCTTCGAGCTCTGCGGTGCTGCTTCCCACGCCCGTAGAGCAAGTTTCGCCTGCTTTGAGCCACCGAGCTCCCTCGCTAGGGTTTTATCATCCTTTACATGCCAGCTCCCGTCACCGCCCGCAGCCAGCAGGTCTCCCAGACGCACCTCCCACAATTTCTCCGCGGCTTTCTGGCTGCCCACCGGAGTCGTGCCTTTCATCAGGATATGGCGATTGAAAACGATCCTTTCCCTCGCCACTTCCTCCCGTGATAAGTCAAGCAGCGTGCTGGCGAGCGGCGACTGCATGAAGTTAGCGCACGCAAGCTTCTGCCGCTCGCTTTTCCCGCGCCAGCATTTGAGCAGCTTCACGTGAGCGACGAAGGTATCCATTCCCAGCGGCAAGTCCGCAGCCTGGAGCATGATGTCGCGTTTCAGCGCGTTCGTCTCGGTGAGCAGCAGCCTGATCTTTCTGGCGATTAGGCAGGTAAGTGCGATTTCCGGGTCCTTCATACTGACGCCCCCCTCTTCTCTGGCCATGTACAGTAGCTCTCTACTCCACAGTATGAAATCCTTGTCAGCAGAGGCCCGATTTCCCGACATGAATTTGTGCGTCAGTTTCAGTATCCTCCCCCAAATATCCACCGGTGGCGGGTACGCCTGAGCCTGAAAGAAGATTATCGGTGAGATGTAGCAGTTTATCACCGCAGCACGCGCGTCGGTTGTGAGGTGCTGCGCCTCCCACTGCGACAATTTCCGCTTAATCTGTGTGAAAGCCTTCTCCCATGTGGGATTGCAGCTTCCGGCAGGAGTCACCCACACTCCCAGTAGCCTTTTTGCCTCATCAGCCTTCGCCCATTTGAAGCCATCGGTCTTCCAGGGCTGCTTGCTCAGATTCGACCCCAGCGGTAAGACAACTGACTTCTCCTTGTTAGTAGCGAGGCCTGATTCCCCTGCGAACTCCTCTAACAACTTCTTTGCTGCTGCAATCTGCTCCTCCCCCTCCAGGATAAGAGTTGTGTCGTCGGCATAACCAAGGTACGCCAGCCGCTGATCACCCTCGGAAATGCCTATCCTTCGGTTCGTCGCTTCCTGCGCCGGCGGTTCCACCACGCACAAAAACAGGTAAGGCGCGAGGGGCCAACCCTGACGCACCCCCGAGACCACTTCGACTGCCTCACCAATCCAACCGTTAACCAACAGGCTTGTCCGTGTGTTCTCATGCAGGCCTCGAATCCAACCGACAAAACGGGGGGGGAAGCCCATCTTCTCCAGCACCGTAAACAATAATCCCCTCGACACCGAGTCGAAGGCCTTCCTGAAGTAAACGAGCAGGAGGTACCAATCTTTATCTTTATTTTTGGCCGCTTCGATAATATCCGCCACCAGCCCCACAGCGTCCGACAACCTCCTTCCTGGTAAGAAGCCAAACTGCTCCGGTGAGACTACCTCCGAGAGCACTTTCTTCATCCTGTCCGCTACCACCCGCGCTATCACTTTGTAGGTGAAGCTGAGCAATGTGATAGGGCGATAGTTCTCCAGCTGATCCCTCCCCCCTTTCTTGTGCAGCAGGATGGTCACCGCGTCCTTGGTGGAGGCTAGGAGGGACGCCGTGTCCGAGAAGTTTTTCACCAGCGACATGAAGTGTTTGCCCAGGATGTCCCAATGCACTTCAAAGAGCTCCTTTGGCAACTCGTCCCGGCCAGGAGCCTTGTTTTTCGTCATCGACTGAAACGCGCTCTTAACCTCCTCCTCCGACCACTCGGCAGTCAATGACTCCGCCACTACCGACGACAATCTTCTGTCCGCCGGGGGTTCCCACTCAGATAAGACCGTCTGTCTGTCTGTTCCAAGCAGCTGCCGGTAGTACTGCGAAGCTGCACCCAAAATGCTTTTATTGTCACTGACCATAGTGCCTCCCACGTTTAACTCCGTGATTTGTGTGTGTTCCTTCTGGCCCTTAATCTTCGTAGATAGGAGAGGTGATGCAATCTCACCCAACGTCACCTCCTTCATCCCGGCCATCACGTGCAGTCTCTCCTTGCCGTGACTGCTGATAGCTTCTCAGTTGGAGCTCCCTTTCACCCTGTAGGTCTTTCAGCCGGACACAGCTCGGGTCCCCCAGCCACTCCTGTTTCAGATCAGCAACTGCCTGTTGAAGGAAGGTCATCGTGGCACGAACTCTCTTTCTCTCCTCCCTGGCGTAAGCCTTGAGCCCCGTGTTCAGTCTCGCGATTAGCAGCTTGTAATTGTCGCCCGACTTCTCCATCTGACTCGACACTCTTTCGATCACCTTTATGAAACCCGGTCTCCCCACCATGTATGCAGGTAGTCTCCAAAGGCCCGCTCCCGTCTGCACTTGCGTGCTCATCCTAAAGGCCACCTTAATCGCAAAGCTGTGGTTCGAGATTGGGTCAGCAGGCATGATGTGGGAGGCGAGCTCAACATGCGATAGCAGAGACTGCGAGATGAGAGCACGATCAATGCGCGAGCTGGTCTGACAGGCATGTGAGTAGAAAGTGAACTCCCGTTTGAAGGGATGCAGAACACGAAAGGCATCCGATAAACGAAAAGCACTGCAGCGCTGGTACAACTCGTCGTTCTCTTTGGTCGTCCCTTTCCTGGAGGTCCTATCGAGCAGCGAATCCTCCACCAGATTTAGATCTCCGAGGACAAGCAGGTGAGCGCCAGGTGGTACGCCGTCAACCACTGGGCCCAAGACCCGACGGATGAAGGCTTTCCGCTCCGACGCGTCCGCCGGAAAGTACACCGCTACTAAGGTGATGTGGAAGGCGTCCAGTTGCACATAAACTTTGATCAGTCGGCCTGACGAGTGAATCAGAATGTTATGAAGTGATAAGCCTTGTCTGCGACAGATCAGCGCTACACCCCCGGCCTTGGCAGTTGGTGAAGCAACTAAGGTCCTAGGCTGTTTGAGAGAGTTCCAGTATGGGTGGTCATCTGCTAGTCTAGAGTCTGAGAGTATAGTGATGTCAGCTACTTGTCTGATCCAGTTCTTCGTACGCTGTTGCTTGTTCCCGTCTCCCAGGCCGTTCACATTCAGGCCTGCTAACGTGAGAAGATTTTTTGTACTCATTTGATCATTGCTTGGTAGCCTCCCCTCGTCCACAGGCTGGTGAAACATGCAACGGCTATGACGGAACAAACAACGGCTACAGACAAAGAGACACTGGTAAGTCGATCCAGATCATCACTTAGATCCCGTACTCCTTGCGGATGGTGTTCAGATTCAGCTTCTCGAGGGAGAGACGAGTGGCAGCACCTAGCTTCTCTAGCCCCAGCAGGTGGCTTGCAAAGGTGACATGGTCTGCAGCAGTCACGAAGGATTCGCCGTGTGCTTTCCCGCAGCTGGCTTGGGTGCACAGCCACTCCTCCCTGTTGCTCCCCGTCGAGATCAGAATAAAGGCCGCATCCATGAGGAGAGGGGTGACAAGCGGAGAAGTGCCGAAAGAAGCAGATGCGAGAGGCAAGCAAGAGGTCAGAAGCCGAGGAAGGTAAGAGACAGCAAGAATAACCCCGACAACAAAACTGTAAGAGGCTGTTACCGTTAATCTTGTGTACCCGACCCACTGTGAGACTCCACTTCCCTATGTTATCCTGACGCTCCGTGACATAGACATCATGAAACTTGTCATAGTGATGTCCACCACAGAGCGTGCAGGATAACAAGGGGTAGTGGGCCAGCAACGACGTTCCACCATGCAGCTGGTGGCGAAACTCGTGTCGCCAACGATGTTTGTCCCCCGCGTGCGGGACCACCATTCCCTTGATCTTACCAATGTCTGCACCAGTAACCGGATGTAGCACGCGGTGGAAGCAATGACCCTCGCTGAACGCGGACCGTTTGCGTACTTTCAACCGATGGACAACCATCACATCCTTGACCAGTTCCAGCGAAATGTCAGCAGGTACACCCTTAAAGTAGACTTCCAGCATCTGCGGGTTAGCCGCCTTTGTTCGGATGAAAGCCGGATCTTCCTGGTGAAGCCAGAAGCAGTAAATAGTCAAGCCATTCGGTCGCTTATGGTCCACAATCATTTGTTTGACACTAGTCGCGTTTGCTTCTTGCAGGAAGGAGACCTGGAGTCTGCTGTAACGTGACTTCGCGACATACGCGGGTGGCAGCTCCTGAAACTTCACTGTGGTAAGAACACCGTCAGTAAAGATATGCGACCAAACGCGCTTCATCAGCATCTTGGCGGTAATAATGACAGAGGCGATCTCATGAGACGGAATGATCGGGAAGAGCAGTATCGCCGTGAACCGAAGATGCGACGCCGTCCCTTTTTCATTGTCAACTTCCAGCTCCTCGTAAGAGTCGTCTTCAATATAGGTGTCATCAAGTGTGACCGTAGCCAGCGCCTTCAGCTTATCCTCAATGGATAATCCCGAGCTTCCCGCAGTGACTTCAGCCTCAAATGGCAGATCCTTCACAATGTCTAACTTGCTGGTTGCCGTTTGCTTGGATGCAGCATCAGGACCACCCGTTGTGGTTTCAGGCGGTGGCGCATCAACAATGGGCTTAACATGCGACCCTTTCGGCGGCATCGTGCAATGATGAACCAGAAACAACAGAAGCTCTGAGTTAACAAGCTGATGAAGAACATATGCCGATGGTCTGAGCACAGTACTGATATATAGCCTGTCATTGTCATTGTTAGCGTAGACAGCTGACCAGTGCTCTTAACTCAGGTGTTGAGAAACCGAGGATAGGACTTCAGGATCACGTCCTTGGACGTAATCCAAGCATCCAGTGGCGTTAGTCCTTGATTGTTGTTCCTGAGTGCCAGCAGAGCACCTTGAGAAGCCCGCGCGGACGTTGGACTTTGTCGCTTGCACCAGCGAGATACTCCCTAGAGCAGTCGATATAATGTTCGCCTGATGAACATAAAAAATATATAGGCTGCTTCGTAAGGATGTAACGGTTGCAGTACTGGTAAAATTGAAGCCATCTGGTGGCTAGGCTTCGCGTAATGTGCTTGTCAGGCAAGTGTCAGGCAGCCATAGCGGCCTAGTCATTGTCACTGTCATCCCTACTTGACCTATCCAAAGTCATGTGCTAGCTGCATTCGCTGTCCAGCATCCACAATGATGCTTCAATCGAGGGTGAGGTTGTCGAATGATATATATGCTATATATGCTTAGGCTGTAGTGGGGTAGCCAATATGGGGTACATCCCCTTTTAGGGTTTCATATTTGTACCCATCTCATTCATAGTTCATTCATTCCTACTGCCAGATTCTAACATGGTTTCAGAGCACTAGGTCCGTAGGACCGTTTTTTTTTTTTTTTTTTTTTTTTTTTCGGGCCCACCTACCATTGCGGTTACCGCGCTACCCCACGTATTGTCATGTGTCTGCCTGCCTTGCCTCGTGACGTGCTGCGCTGCGCGCGCCGTCCTGCAGCCCTCGCGCTGCCTCCTGCTGCCTAGGCCAGTGCGCCGCCCCTGCAAGCTCGTAAGGCCCTCGAGCCGCCCCTGCAGGCCCGTCAAGCCCCCGTGCTGCCTCTGCAGTCCCGACAGGCCCTCGAGCCGCCCCTGCAGGCCCGTCAGGCCCCCGAGCCACCTCTGCAGGCCCGTCAGGCCCCCGAGTCGCCCCTGCAGGCCCGTCAGCCCCCCCGAGCCGCCACCTTCAGGCCCGTCAAGCCCGCGAGCCGCCCCTGCAGGCCCGTCAGGCCGGCGCGCTGCCCCTGCAGGACCTTGCCGCCCGCGCGCGGCCTCTGCCCGACTGCGCGCTGCCCATACAGGCCCTCGCCGCCCACGCGCAGCCTCTGCCCGACCGCGCGCCTCCCTTGCAGGCCCTCGCTGCCCGCGCGCAGCCTCTGCCCGACCGCGCTCCGCCCCTGAAGGCCCTCGCCGCCCGCGTGCAGCCTCTGCAGGCCCGTCAAGCCAGCGCGCGACCCCGTCAGGTCGCTGTCGCGGCCCCGTCAGGCCGCAGTCGCGGCCCCGCCTTGTCGCTGACGCGGCCCCACCCTGCCGCGGTCGCGGCCCCGCCCTGCCATGACGCGGCCCCGCCAGCCCTGCAGCTGACGCGGCCGCTCCCTGCTGGTGACGCGGCCGCACCCTGCTGCTGACGCGGTCCGCGCCAAGCTGCTGACGCAGCCCCGCCAGCCCTGTAGCTGACGCGGTTGCGCCCTGCCACCGACCCGGCCCCGCCCGGACGCCGACACGGCCCCGCCAGTCCTGCAGTTGCCGCGGCCCCGACCTGCCGCTGGTGCGACCCCGCCCTGCAGCTGCCGCGGCCGCGCCCTGCCGCCAACGTGGCCCCGCCTGGACGCTAACGCGCCCCCGACCTACTGCTGGAGCGACCCTGCCCTACATCTGCCGCGGCCCTACTCTGCAGCCGCTGTTGCGGCCCCGCCGAGCGCCGGCCCTGCCTGCCATTGGTGAGCACCTTCCTTGTTCGTGCACTGCCGCTTGCCTGCCTGCCTCCCTGCCTGCCTGCTCGCCTGCCTGCCTGACTGCCTGCCGACCTACCTGCTCGCCTGCGTGCCTGCCGCGCCTGCCCTGCACGCACTGCTGCTGCTACTACTGCTATTGCTACTGCTAGTTCTACTGCTACAGCTGCTACTGGCGACGGCCAGATGCAGCTCCAGCGACGTCCGCGTGAGTCCCTCACGCCCCAGCAGCTTCGTGGGTGGTACGCTAGTTGGGGTTGTAGGGGTGGCCGCGCTGCTAGTGCTGCTACTGCTGTTACTGCTGCTACTGCTGCTACTATTGCTATTGCTGCTACTGGCGGTGGCCAGATGCAGCTCCAGCGACCACGCCCCAGTAGCTTCGTGAGTGGTACGCTCAGAGTAGAGGGTCTCTGAGTACCGTTCGCTGCCCGTACGTCATTCGCACTAGTGCTCGGACTGGTCAGGCTTGCAGGATGCTTAGTCGCACACAGTCCCGCTGCTTTGCCCGTCTGAGCGATGCCTGGCATACCGAGTTTGGCGACGAGGCTGAGCTCCCCGACTGGGTGGAGCTGCTTGGGCAGAGGGTAGATATGTTTGCTCTTGACTATGATGCTATTCTCATTGCCATGTATGCATTGCCTACTAGTGCTGACCATGCCTGTTACCTGTGCGTACCGCCTGACCCAGGTATCGAGCCCGCTGCTCTAGGTGCTGGTGAGGCTGCTGCTCTAGGGGCTAGTGTGTCTCCTGCTCTAGGTACGGGTGAGGCTTCTGCTCCAGGTGCTGGTGAGTCTGCTCTCTCTGGTACTGCGCCTGCTGAGGCCCTGTACACCTTCACTGTTGACTGTGGTGCTTCTCGCTCCTTCTTTCGCGACTGCACCACCCTCACGCCGCTTAGTCGGC